TTCTACCGTATCATATAAAGTTTGGTAAAAATTACAAAATTTACTTATCAAATACAATATTAATGTTAAATCTAAAAACTTAAATAAATTTAATACTTTATTAACTGATAACAACAACTCGTTAGATTGGATTTACAAACTACTTTGCAACTGCGGGAAATACTACATACGAGAACCTGGAAATACCGTCACCTAAAGAACAAAAAATCCTGTGAAACTAGAGAAAATGAAAACCGCCGACGAACGCGAACAACACATGTGGTAACAAAGAATCGAGGAAGAAAACAGATCCTCCCTTTTAACAAAATCAGAGAAAAATGCAGAAAGGCCTAGGAGATCGCGCAATACGCAGCAGAAGAAGCTCACTTCCCCCAGTGGTTAGATTGCGCAGACATTAAAGAAAGAAACTAGTTGAGCAGACGAATCAAATTAAGCTTTATATATAGGAAAATGTTCAAATAACACGATGACAGTTGAGTTGTCAAGATCAGAAATTATGACACTCGTTTCGAGTACTGATTATATTACACCTACGAAATGTTGCTGAGAACCTCTGATGCAATGAATTCCACTGAACATACATGTAGAACGATCATCATTTGAATACTGGTGCGTTACTGTCCATGCATGGTAACATATCTTAAAGACGCTAATGAACAAGTATTTCGACAGCATGCCAGCACAGCAAGCCCTTTCGATTACTTTCTACGATTTACTTATTCGTCTTATTCTGATATCCTACTATATTATCCGTCTTATCCTGTTGTGTCAATCCTCCATTTCTCACTGATATAGTCTTCCTGCTGGTTCAGCATTTGCACCGAAATTACTGACCGGCATTTGCAACGAACCAAATCAAAGATTTGGCAAGTCTCAGTTTGGAGAAATCCAGAATGCTGAATGCAACCTGTTCGTAAGCTTGTGACATAATACAACTCTGAAGTTTAAGTCAAGAAAAGTTTTACGATATTCACATTTACGTGTTTTGACTACTTGCCTGAGAACAGCTTCGTGTTCGTCGAAATACTGTAAGTTGGTATTGTTTTGAGCTCATATGCACCAACGGAAACATATCTCACAAGCAGACTACATAGACACTTATTCACGTATGATCTTTACATGGAGCCCATGTGATGATTGAGTATGTTTTGGGTTGATGGCTACATTAAAACAATGAAAGTGAACATGAGCGACCAACGCGCAAATATCGGGAAAGCGTTTACTGATTTACAAATAGAATTAATTAATAAACATGCCCAAAATTTCCCATCGAGTATAATTAAACATTTCATAACAAGGCGGTTGGCGTCATTTTTTAGCGACTGTAGTTCTCCTAAACAAAATATCAATGAACATGAAAACTACTTCTGCGAAAAAAATATAAATATTCGTAGTACATTAAAACAGACTATCGATATACTGGAGTTTTGACATTAAACACATTTCAAACATTTTATTTGTTCCCATATTACCAAGTCTGACATTCACTTTATGGGAACGGACTTCACTGTGACACCCAAGACACACTGCCTACATCAAGAAGAACAACGGAAAATAAACAAAAGGGCAAGCGCTGAATTGCAGATTTCAAAAGGACTGCAATACTGAGAAAATGAAGCAGCAGCTCGATGTCATTTGCACTGAAAACACCCAAACAGTTCGGAATGAAGTCTGAAAAGCATGTTTAGCGAGAGATATGAAAGTGCTTTTCACTAACGCTAGCTGCTGATTATCTGACGCCAGTTCTTTGGTTGCGGACAGGAGAAGAACCTCCATGCATACAGATTAGTTGCGGCAAATAAGCAGACAAGCAGTGATAAGACAATCAGGGCGTGGCTGAGTTCGAGCTTGAAAGAGTTCGTTCCTCAGAAACTTAGAATGCCGAATGAAAATCTCATGTAGAGGCGAAAGCGACCCTCAGCTTGAGGAAAAGGACGGTGAATGACAGCAATGTCTTACGTTAGACGTCAGTTAGTGAAAAGTTAGAAGAAACAACTTCGATAAAAATGGTCGGAATTGAGGACCCGTTTCTACCATCCTCAGCCCTGCTAGCGGACGGCAAAACTTTAGGCGATACGACAACATTAATAAATGGATCTCAGTGCCCTCCGCATCTTTCGACCTGTTCAACGGCGGCGGTTTGGTGTTCGACTGACAAAGGCTGCTAAGAATTACGGGTGATAGGCCGCCATCCGTTAAACGGCTCGAAACAGGCAATTTCTGTAATAATCATAAAGTCATTTATGCAAAAATATGCGGAGCAATCTCGTTAACAATATCAACACCATGAAATAAGAAATTATTGGTCATCACGCTGATGATCATTACATTGTTTACTCAGCACATAAATTATACATAAGCCGTCTGATATATAGTAATGACAATTTGTAAATAATACATTCGCTCGAATTAAACCTTAAACCCCTTAAAGACTACCGCGATGGAGCATAGTGAGCCAGCATAGGAGCATAGCAAATACATACGTCCCTGAAAGTTTAAATAACACTGTAACACAAAACTAATAAATAAACTACTAATTTAATTCGCACTGATCATTATGTCAATATCCACTGATTTGTTCACTGATTAGGTTAAAAACATACACCTTTATTAACTTCTAAACACAAACTCAATGAAAAGCATCAAGAATCAAAATCGATTTGAAACAAACGAACATAGCTTACGCTGATATACGACGAAACATTCGTGGAGAGGGTCGAAAGCTTGTTGGCGACGGTGGCTACGCCGCTGCGAACCGACTCCTTGATGTCTATCAGGTCCGGAAGCTGGACATTCAGTGATGGCACCGAATAACGGCTTGCAGTCTTCGTCGAATGACTTTTAGGCTCCTCGTTAAAGAAGTCAGAGCTGGATATGGCCGAACTTGCCTCAAAGCGAGACAGGTTTTGTCGGGCTTCGAACTACAAAAATATACCAAATAAAAGATTTATGTCAAAAAATCAAAAATACTTGCTTGTTTTTAATATAAGCAGTTTCTACAATGGTGCACGATTCGTGGAGAATTACGTATATGCGTTATTTATCGTCAGACAAAGCCGAATAAATTTATCTGGATGTGTAACACATTAAAACACTAAGTACCAGACAGAGTAATACAACCGGCAATGAATGACTTCGAGTGTGTGTGCTCAGTCGATAGAGCCTCTGAATCAGAATCATGAAGTTCCGGATTCGAGATCCTGCCGGGTTACTCGCCCTTCTTCTTTCTCAAGTTGATAAATGAATACTACTCTGTGGAAAGGAAGCAAGAAACTGAACATTATGCCTGCAAAAGCTGCAGTGGATTCCGTTTTTAAAATAAGGGACGCAATGGAAATGAAGATCAATGTCCCAGCATTAATATCATCTTTCAGTAGTGGCACAGCAGTACAAACAGCTATGCCACTCTCCTTTTGAACCAAAGAACCTTTACACTATTCCCCCACATTGATCAGCGCAGCTAACATGAGTTATTCAAGGTACTGTCCCGGAAGGTGAAGAGGCAATAAACCCCACTATCTAGGCACCAAACGCTTTCACAAAAATATTGCTATTATAATCAATATCAATAACGCCTTATGTCCGATCATGACACGTATTGAGGGTTTCCATAGAGAAAAAAATCGATAACACTGTTGTATCCATCTCACAAAGGAAAAAACAACGAATACAAAGAATTCTATCATCCGCACTAATATAAAAAGCATTTTTCATAAAAACCAGACATGATGGGAAAGAAAAACTGTTGTCTAATAAACGCTATTGAGCCGGAGAATATATAAGACGATATTAACAAGAAGTATCAGTGTCTAATAAGAAGAAATGGACGGAACTCTCCTCTTACACCGTGAAGACGTCTACTGCATACAACCATCTTCTGCCGCAGCTTGGACCCAACATCCCAGCTACCAGAATGTCATGCAAAATTTGTTGGTACCTGGTTACAGGTTTTTAATCACGATTCGTTGTGCATTTTGCTGGACTGGACGATTCGGATGCCTAATGAGCGCATGAAGGGTATGGAGGCTGCGAAGCAGAATCTAGAGGAGAATAGAAGAGTTCTCTTACGTCCGTTCACAAGCACCGGAACACCAACACTGGTAGCCTAGACCGTCATGCCTTAGACAGTTGTATGTTTAAGTCTAAAACTGTTCTGCGCATCATTCAGCCTTTCAAACGATTTCCATCGGGGAAGGAGCATGGTACATGCGTCATACACTCCGAGCAGGTTATTCTTTGAATTAAACCATAAACCGCATATCAACCTTCAATGCAATTCTTCTACTCAATACTTCTACTTAAGGCTCGTCAGTACTCTTCCATGCAGGTGTACAACCGACAAAACTGCATCAGCCTCAGGACCCAAGTCAACAATTAAGTTCCAAGAAGGCTTGTCATATAAAAACGGGAGGACGGTAGTGACACATAAAACTGGACTTTTCTTGCAGGCCCACCTTCACTACCATAATGCGTAGGATCATTGCGGATTATACATTAAATTTAAGTTCAAACCAGTTTTTCGTTTCCCTTGAAACTTCTTCACAAGAAACAACACCGTCGTTATCAAGTACTACGGGCACTTTCAAAAATAAATTCATATACGAAGCATTTCAGTGAATCATAAAAACAGTTATTTGTAATTTTGATTTTTGTTTTGAAAAATTCGATAAGCCTGACGCTAATATGTACAATCTGGAATATTCACTACAAGTCTAACCCATAACTTTAATTACCAAAAAAAGTAGCCCTTCCACTATTGTTTCCTTTAGAACTTTTTCTGTATCATACAGGTTTCTGCTTGTATCGAGCAACATAAAAATAAATCAAAATTTTAATCAAATCATATCATGACGTACTTTGTTTTATAATTGTTAAAACCAACATCTAGCAACAGTCCATTCATCTGATTTGACTTGATACAAACCAAAACAATTTATTAAAACGCTGCAGATGATCAGATATACGGCAGGCAAGCGTGCGTGGGCATATTAGAGCAGAACGATAGAAACAGCAGCGAAACATGCAGTGAATTAATGCCTCGCAGATCTCACCATTTGATTATTGTAATAAACGATAGCATAATTATCACAGGCTGATAATCATTAAAATATATCATGATTTCATAGTGTCCCGATGTTGTAATATCCGCACTTAACAAACCTGTAATAATATTGTTAATCCGTACAATTCGTCTGGTCCTGACCCAACTGACAGCACTTCCCTACTGCCAACAAACAAATACTGTTAATTGGATAAAAATTTTAATAAGTATATTAAATTGTCAGCCACAAACGTAAAGGCATGCAAAACTGAGGCCGAAGCTCAGGTACATGGCAAAATTCATCCGATGCCGCAAAAAAATATTGAAGGAACTCAGTGAAAGCGCATTCCTGTTTGTGATCCATTCATTGTTACTCAACACAATGGTGACGGCGGTTGTTCAGCACGTAGTGGAAATATTTTGTCAGTAACAACCAAGTGGAAAGCCAACGATGCCAAATCTCATTAAGAGGCTTACATCTCCGCAAGAACAGCTGATTGCAGAAATGATTACAGCAGAAAGAAACAGACTAGTAGAAATCGCATGCGAACTCACACCGGCATCCGTATGAAAAGTACCCCGCTGCCGTGTACGGAACATCCACTGAATAACCGTCAGCCGCTGTGTACTGACGAACAGTTCATCCACTCAGAAAAGCTACTGATTAAGCTGACTAAGAGTTCTTGATTAAAAATCGTTTTTTAACTCGTTGCTCTGGTATCGGAACTCAGATTCGATAATTTCTAACTATAGCGACGTCTCGTTGCAGCTATATTGCTGCTTTCTAGAAGAATGAAAATAGCCACATTCGATGTAAAACGAGAATGACGTAGTATAAATAGCACAGAAGCTATGGTCATAGCGGTAGAATAGAAGATTCATGTAAGGACGAACGTCATTTTGCTTAAAATCATTAAGAACTGATTTGAAACAGAGGTCTAGGAAAGAAAAATTGTTCGAATCAGAATTTTCTTTAACGGAAAAGCAGCTGACATTACAAACGAACATTTGATACCGTTAGAACGTCGGTCTTCCATAAACTTTAATCACTGGACCATTTCTGGCACCCTTCATGAAGTAAATTATGCT